TAATTCGTCCGAACAAATATCTAATTCGTCCGAACAAATAACTAATTCGTCCGAACGAATATCTAATTTGTCCGAACAAATAACTAATTTGTCCGAACGAATATCTAATTCGTCCGAACAAATAACTAATTTGTCCGAACGAATATCTAATTCGTCCGAACAAATAACTAATTCGTCCGAACGAATTTCTAATTTGTCCGAACGAATTTCTAATTTGTCCGAACGAATATCTTATTCGTCCGAACAAATAACTAATTCGTCCGAACGAATTTCTAATTTGTCCGAACGAATTTCTAATTTGTCCGAACGAATATCTAATTCGTCCGAACAAATAACTAATTCGTCCGAACGAATTTCTAATTTGTCCGAACAAATAAAAATATTTTTTTACCTGGCCCTCCAGCGGCGCCGTAGTTAAGCAACCTACTGGCAAATAATACATTGCAAATGTTTCATCCAGTCTGACACAAATAAGCAAATTGAAATTTCACACATATTGAAAATAATTATGTACAGTTGTAGCGAGCCCTGGGAACAGATGCTCACTAAATATAACCCTATTTAAGTTCAGCTAAAGATTGCGCCAATGGACACTATGTGTCCACCGCCACAATGGCGGTAGCTGAACGCTTATGATTACACCCCCCCGCCCCTCCTTTTTAAAGAATGGCAAAGCAAATAAATTAACATTACATACCAAGACAAATGTGTATTAAACAATCACATCAGCTTCATCTATTGTGTGTCTATTTTAGTGCGCTTTACGTCATTTAGTCAGTGTAATAGAGTGCCATGGCCATTAAAGCCCACCCTTGACATTTTAAAATTATGCAATGCTTTCCTCAAAGTTTCAACAAATATCTCATTGCCTTGCTCTGACAAGTGCAACCCATCCTCTTGAAGTAGAGTATGATCAACCAAAGTGAACTCTGGGCAACAAATATATCCCCCTTGATGGGCCAACAACAAAGCTATAAACTCAAAACCCGACTTTAGTAAGAGCATGGTTGTCCCTAGCATAACGCCAAATCAATCTAGGTAATATCTGAAACCAAATAATTTTCAATAATTGTTGTTTGGTAACAGGGCTAAAATTGAATCAAAGGAATTATTTATGCTATAATGCAAAACACATAATGGAATTTGACTAATGTCTTTGCCATTGCAATGTAGAACCAGATTATAATTTTGTAGTATCTTCATACCTTGACATTAATTTGATTTTTGAGAGGAGATGTCACCATCCCATGCCACCTTTTCCCTGCCACCAGATATTAGCTTTCAATGTGGATAACCCAAAATGGGAACCCCCACCCCCTATTTTTTCTAGCATAACCAAAACCAGAAGTCTCTGTCTAGACTGTAGCTCTACTGGTTTATACTTAAAACAAAGGAAGAGAAAAGTAGCAGTTGATACTTGAAACTTTTAAACAGCAATAAATAGAAAAATGATCCTTGCCACTCATCAATATAAAAACCAACGCACAGAATCAAGTATCCTAGCATAGTCCACCTGTGTGCCAAGTTATCTTGAAATAAGACCAAAACTGTAGGAGGAGTAGCATTTTGAAAGAATTTCAAAGAAATTTCTATTCTTAGTAATCATGGCAGCACCATTCGTTGAAATCCCAAAATCATGCCATAATATTGACAATCCCAAAAAAAATGTACATATTCTTACACCCTCTGAAATATTTGTAAACAAAAATGATCATATTTAAAATAAGATTTAGCATTAAGGTATTAGAAAACCTATCAAGCTATACTGCTTGAGGTGCTTAAAAATAATACAAACAATTGAGTCTTTAGCCATCAATGAATTTGAGGTTGGTATTCTTATTTATCTCTTGTAAGCTTTTGATCACCAACGACCTAGTTCTTGATATAATTGGCAATCTAGCATCTACAGAACTTTGCAGTCTTGACATGCCTACCACCATCTTTTTCATAACAACAAAGTCTCAAGTACCATCAAGTTTACATTTAAAGCTTGTACCTGACAGATACGTTCTTACCGTAGAATATGACAGATTATCTATTATCTATTTTTCATCAGGATGCCAAATCGGATGTGACCCACAAGATAATAAGACAAGCCTTGAACTGTATATTGTTTAAACTGAAACAAGCTAAAAAATGTTATGTCCCTGATTACTTTAGTACCAACCCATTCACTTGGCCTCTTAAAAAACAATCAATGATTCTTGAAGAAAAAGCCACAACTTAATTCTGAAATCCTTGATCTATCAGTAAATAATTGGAGTTGATCATTGTCTACTCAGTCAATTTGTGGAAAGTAACAGCAGCCATTGAACAAATCTAAAAAAGTAAGCCACACTTTCAAGTCCTCCTTAACCACCAAAGAAACCCTGATAAAGTGATGTGGTTTTAACAGACCCCTTGCATGATGTCATAAATTATGCCTAGTGAATGCCCGGCCTAACAGAATGGCACGCAAACAAAAATTCAACAAACCTGCAAGAGCCTTAAATTCCTTTAGGGTAGCCTTCTTTCTTGACATAAAACTGTTGATCAAATCCTTTAAACTATTCTACTTATCAACTGGGATTCTTAACATCATTTCAAACAAATCTAACTCAAAACCCAAAAAGGTCAGGGGAGTGGAAGGCCACACTGTTTTATCATCAGCTATTGAGGGGACACCTAACTGCTCGCATAGCCCCCCAAAAATGACATGTTCATCACATGTATTCCTACCTGCCCTACCAGAAAACCAAAAATAATGTAAGTAATACACAACAAATTTCTGACCAGACTGTTGCTTCAATATCCATTCCAAATATGATGAAAATTCCTCAAAGACTACAAGACACCACAAAATATTTATTTAAATCCTAAAAGCTTAAAGATCTGCCGGGTGAACAGGATTAAACCTAAATGCAGACTTGAGGTCCATTTTTCCCAATTCAAGGCCCCCTTACCCAACAAACTTAGTATCCTAACTGCATCATCTAATGAGGAGTAATTGACTGAGGAGAAAGATGGATCAATAAAGGAATTAACACTCAAGTTTTCCAGTTTAGATAAATGATGAATCAACTTAAATGTTCCATCTTTTTTCGGTTCTAAACCTGCAGGTGAATTAAAGCCTAAGACTGGGAAAGTGTCTTGAATGGAATGGGCCAGTAACTCTTTCAGCATAATTTTTTAAAACTTTTTTTCAGAATTCTAAGCTCATTATCCCTAGCTGACTTTAAATCAAAACAATTAGTAACTACCCTTTTGACCATTAATTTAGAAACCTTCATAAAACCCCTTTGGCAAAATTTCTGAACTCTTCCTATAATAATCAGAGTTTTGTAAATAAGCTGCATAAACTTCTAAATTAAATGGGGAATAACCTAAATCCTGTAGATTGTGGTGCACTGGGGTATCATGCTCAAGGCCTGGGTGGTCTTGATGAAAGTCTCTGGTTCCTGTATTATAATGGGTACCTTTGACCTGAAAAATCTCTAGAAGCATATTGATATTTAGCAGACGGGCCTTTTTAAATGGATGAGGCCCGCTACAGTTCAAATATTTATGTTATAATTAATGGCACTGCTGTTTCACACAAACCCGATATTTGTTATAGTCATAGCATTTACCCCCCCCCCCCCCCCCCCCGAAGGTTTTGCACCGGACCAATAAACGATGGTACCATGTACAGGAGCTAAAGCTCCTGATCAAATATTAATGAAACACTTGAATTTCTTGCAATTCTCATTTGAAATTGACCATTATAAAAATGCCACCTTATATCTGTTAGCCTACCTGCTAGCCCCTACACAAACAGTGTGGATTTATTTATACAAGACAAAAAAGAAATTCTGTTGGGTGTACTGTGGCATATACTGAAGAGAAAACAAAAGATGCATCAGTCCACTGCTGTACATTTGTAATTTTAACTGTAACCCATTTCGGTTCAATTACTACTTGACCATTGGAGAATGTTAGTGTTTGCTTATCAACCATCAGGACCGGATTGGACAGAAGCTGACCTAAATCAATGAATTCTCCCTCTGCATTTTATGTTTGATTTATTCTGTAGCATTTTCCCCCAAATTATCGCATATACCATCGATCTCATTACCTGTTGTATCAACATGATTGGCTGTCTTACATTGAAATCAGATTCATTGCTGGAACTAGTGGAAAAAGTAACCACACTTGTAGTAACCATGGTAACAATAATCGTCTGTACAGGCCCGCCGAGGGTATGTTTTCCTCTGACGAAACTTCTGTAGATTCGACTGATCCCATTTTTTGGTTTAGGCCCGCTCGTAGATGCTGATTTCCGCTTCGCCGGCTTGGCAGCGGGTTTAACTCTAGGCATTTTCTGAAACTACCGACTTTGAAATAAGAAATACAATATAGAAATAGGCCTAATAGTAAAGTTATTATTATTATTTTTAATATTGACTCAGCGTTACGACTTCGACCATTTTTGTAATTAAAATCATTATTATTATCATTTTCTCAAATATTGACTAAGCGTTACGATTTTTCTGTTTTATATTAAGCATGTGGTTTTTCAAAATCGAAAAACATCCGAAAAGTCATGGACGTAATGATGCAAATACACACGAAAATAAAGATTGCTAGAAACATTCTCCTTAAATTTCATGCATAACATGAATTTTTGAACATAATATAAAATAAATAAACAAATTTTTATCTTGAGATGCAGGATATGTCTGCTCCCCTTCATTCTCTAACGGAAAAGGAAGTCCTAAGGATTCGACTAAAATACCAAAAGTTGAAAGAACGGGGAAGCACTAATGACCCGATAACCCCGAATATGGGCCTCTCTAATAACGCGATTTAATTTTCAGCAATTAAATCGAATTTTTGACAATTTTGCAACAAAAAATTCTGACATCAAAGATGCAGCTCATATTGCTTTAAATTGTTATAATATAATAATGATTATAAAATAATATAACAACTGACGTTAATTTCTTATTAGATAATTTTGATTATTAAAAAATTATATTTACCTGGTTTGTTTGAAAATGCTGGTAGAAGCAGCTCGACTTGATACTTTGTTTTATTTGAAAAGTCTTCTTTGTCTGTTCTCACGACTAAACAGATATAGACAAAAAAAGACCAGTTTAGCTAAGAAATACCAGTTTAGCTAAGAAAAGAGAGTTTACTTATAGGCCTAACATATAGTGTAGGCTCTTTGAATCGATTTACATTTTTTTCTTCTAACGAAAAAAATTCCTCTGATGAATTTTTGAATTAAGCTATGTTTTATAAAAACAATCGGTTTTGTATACCCTCTATATCATTCTTCGGTTCTCCGCTTGAAAGGGTTATGCCGGTTTGTTGGAAAATATCTTCTTTTCTTAATTGTTGTTCAACTGCAGAGGGTAGATTTTCTAGCAGGAGCTTTGTGCTGATAATGCTAGCGATGACAACGGATATAATAACACATCCCAACATTAAACAGGACATGCAAATATACTTCTGAGAATTCCAGCTTGTCATTTTAGGAAGTTTTACCTATTTTGGAATAAAAAAATATTCAGAATGTATTGTTTAATTGTTCATCAGTTTCTGATGTAACAGAACGTCAACAATAGCTAAACATAGGGTTTTTTGTTGATCATACCTGAGGGCTATTCACATGACTCTGGGTGTGTCCATTACAAATTTTCTGATCAGCGTTTATTCCAGACTAAAATTAAAAGGAAAAAAAATCAGTATGTTAAAATGAATATGTCCTCCCCATTTTACTGAGTAATAATTCATCTTCTTAGTGAATGAACTGTGATTCACATTTCTTTATGGTTTTTAAATTTACTGCTCAAATACAATTCAGAACTGTGTGATCAAAGTATGAGCTTACATAATGGAATTAAGGCTTAATATTGAGCATACTGAAATCAGTGCTTGTTTGATAAAAAACAAGGTACAGTTTTAAAACAAATAATGCCCTGTATTTTTCTAAAATATGAAAGTGATTTAAGAAAAAAAGATTCATTCGTTCTGATTCAAAGGAATTCCATACAGAAAGAAAACACAAATTGTTTTTCTCATATAACATCCTAAATGCTTATTGTGACGTCATTAACTTGTGCATTTTCCAGTATTTTCTTAAAATGTTGTAGAAGACATCGATTTTCAGTGAGTTTTTCTTTCAGAAAACATACTCTGCCACCGTAGCCCACAAAGATTTTGAGATATGCGATTTTTCAAAGCAGTTTACATAATATATCCAAACCTTGAAGTGGACGACGGTGGCAGACACTATTTTCTCAAGGAAAATAAACACAGAAATGTGTCATTCTGAGGCTTTTCTGCATTAAACTTAGAAATGTACTAAATTGATATCGTCATAAATATAGAACGGCACTCCTTCTTGCCATATTCTTTAATGTTTTATTATATTCATCTACTAAACTCTTGTTAAAGCCAATTTCATAACTTTTTAAGAACATTAATTTTTTAGTGCACATTAAAGCCAAAATGTACCTTCTTCTTCTGTATTTGTAAGACAATTGACGGCTAAATATATATAATTTATATTCGAATTTCAATTAAAAACAAGATGATATATCATGTAAAAGATTATATTTAATTTTGGGTCACTGACAAGCCTTCAAAAACATTTTCTATCTGTTATTCTCCTTGAAAAAATATGGATTGCATCGACGAATTCTCATAGCACATCTGGCTTTCTACATCTACAATAAACCTATACAAGAAATCATACACAATGCAAACATAACACAATATTTCCATTTCTAATTTTTTTTCTATGATAACTGTTTGAAAGTTAGGGGAGATTATTTCTTGATAATTCTGTTGGAATTTAAATTAGGCAGGTCGATAGGTCAGGAGCTAAAGAGGCCTAATACGCATGCAAATCCCATGCGCATCTGTCTCTAGGTCTGATGCTAAGGAGGCTAAATATGCATGTAAATCTCGTGCGGCTCCCTTTGTGTTTGACGTCAGAGGGCAAGGACTATTGAGATTGGCATGGGAGTCCTCGTGTAATTTGAATCTATTAGTCTACATTTTTAAAGTCTAAATCTACAATTTTATTTCACAATGAAATGAAAATATAAGGAATCACTGTCTAGTTAGTATAATATGCCAGGGACATCAACGATAGTGGGAAACATATGATAATTTATGCATAAGTGGCAACGCCCGTTAGGCAAATTATCCATGTTTCCCACTATCGTTGATGCCCTGGCATACTACACTAACTAAGACGGTGATTCCTTAAATAATCCGTCTCCGAGATTGATCTCAGGTGAAACCATGCCTTTTCTTTACTTCATTGTTGACATTGTCAATTATAAATGTATCTGAATATTTTGAAACACTCAACATACCGATTTAGAAAACAGGTCCACAAATGTATTTTGATCCTTCGGATTTTTATGGGCTTCCTAAAAACATTTATCGAATTATTATTAAAAAATAATCAATGATAAATGTATATGGAAAGTAATGTACATATTTTTCTCTTTTTTTTGGAACTAGATCTGGTGGAACCATAAGACTTCCCTTCGTTTAAAATTCCTTTTCTTAACTTTTCCACAAATTACTAAAAATAATTTTGTCCATCAGCTGCAAACGTAACGATAAATAATATACTGTTATTGATTTTTAGCTCACCTGAGAATCACTGGGCCAATTTCAACCAAACTTGCCACAAAGTATCCTTAGGTGAATGGGATTCAAGTTTGTTCAAATGAAGGATCAAATCCTCTTCCAAGGGGAGATAATTATGAATTAATGAAAAATTAATGGTATCTTTTAAAAATTTTCTTCTCCAGGACCAATGGGCCAAGAAATATAAACTCAAGTAGAAGCATCCTCAGGTAGTGTAGATTCAAGTTTGTTCAAATCATGACCCCTGGGGCGTGGCGGGGCCACCATGGCTGATAAAAGTTTTACATAGGAATGTATAGGAAAAATATTTGAATATCTTCTTCTCCAGAACTATTGGGCCAGGAATGATGAAACTCATGTGAAAGCATTCTCAGGTAGTGTAGATTCAAGTTAAAATCATGACCCCAGTAGGGTGGGTGGGCACAATGGCTGGTCAAAATTTAACATATAGGAGGTCTCAATGGTAGATCAAGTAATATGTTGGAAACATCTTTAAATATCTTCCTTTCAGGTATGGCAAAATTAATAATGTATGCTTTATTGATATAGTGACATTCTTAATTTATAGAGAATTCAAATCCCCTCCCCCCAACAAGTAAACTTTTCAATACTGAGCTGATTTGTGTTTTTTTAATTAGATCATATGCTTAGGTGAGCGATGTGGCCTATGGCCATATTTTAATACCAAGGATAATAGTGTGATATGGTAGAAGCCAAAACTTGCTTTTACTAATGGCAAAGACCAAAAACTTGTCGCTACAACGTTCACTTAAAGTGTAAATTGCTCACAGAATAATAAAACCAAATGTGGATAAAATCTCACGAATTTGCATAAGTCGGTGTATAGAAAATAAAATACTGCCTTAATAAAGGTCCTTTGCACATATTACCCTAGCATATTTTCCTCATTTTCAATGTTTGATTGATTATGTGCTGTTTTACATCCCTTTCGGTAATTTTAACTCATTTACAGGCGTCACAATATCCAAAAGAAATTTAGAAATTTACCTGGCACTCAGAATTATCATTAAAAGTATCATGAGAAAATTTATACAAAATATTTTCATTCAATTTTATCTCTCCAAAAGAAAAAAATACATTAAAAACTTCTGTCGTTGATATCAAAGAATATAAAATACTTACCATTTTATCAAATTACAATGTATAAGAAAAAAATACATTAAAAACTACTTTCGTTGATATCAATGAATATAAAATACTTACCATTTTATCAAATTACGAAACTTCCCGTGAATTCTTCTGTCTGATACTCTGTCCAGGGGCTGGAATTGAATGATTATCTAAGAAATTGTGTAATGTCTAACACGTACCGGCATATCTTTAAAATGCATTGGTTCTTAATACCCAAGAAATAAAAATGTGAATAAGGAAGGCTCAAACCAGATTAAATGGGATACTCCTCTTTGGTGCTTTCAAGGGGTTTTCCCTGCTCTAGAGTTTATAATGCTTGACTCATAAGATTGATCATTGTTCTTTACATTTATCTCTTTCCTCCCTTGAAGACCTAAATCAGTTTTATACATAAAAATTATGTTATTTGTAGACGTTGATTATAATATGTATTTTCATATATTTATTTATTTTATCACTGGTGATGAGAAATCTGGAAAAGAAAAACTTACCACGACAGTGGTTATTTAAATGAATTAAACTTGTGAACAGTGGATATATCGATCCCAGTCAAATCAGTTTTGATCAAAGCCTTGTCTGATTTTTCGAACTTTGTCTTTTGTTTACAATAAAATAAAGAAATATAGGCAATAATCTTCTTTTCACTTCAATTAATCCATCTGGTCAAATCATAACTTTGAGATCAAATATGCTCACAAACGAATATTCTTTAAATTCACACATCTTTTGAAATGCAATGGCCCACTTTAAAGAATTAAATGATTATAAACAAAAATAGGCAAAAATATATGCATAACTGAAAAAAGACAAGCAAGGTTTTTGTATTTTTTTTAAATAATAAAGGCTTTCGATTTAATTCATAAATGTAGCTTATGGTGTTTTTATTCTTCTGTATGGCAAGTAAAGTTAAATTGAAAAAAAAATCAAAGATTTCTTTTTTTTTCTAATTTTAACATTATTTTACAATAAGTATTTTAGCGAGGAGGCCATCATTTCGTTTTTACTACGTGCCTTAAAAAATTGAACGAAACAATATCCTTAACAAACTCGCTTTTATTCAATCTAAATCAAGAGATTTGTAAGCATTTTCAATTCCGAAACTGTGCATGCCTCTAAATTAAGTAAACATATCACAATCTATTACAATCATTCCAGGATTGTTGAGATTTACGGATTACTAGTTGTCGAGTTTGAATTATATATGCTCTTCATAGAAATAAATTATGTTCTAAAAATATTCTAGTTTAATGAGAGCATTTTGAATTTGTTTCAGTCACATTGATAGCATCATGTAGCGAGGAGTTTCTCAAACACAATGAAACCTTTGTAATTTTTTTTACCACTTTGAAACAGCTTGGCAACTGTGTGTATGAAAGATAACGAGTAGTGATCGGTCTGAAAAAAAAGTTTACAAACACTTCAAAATTGTACGATGAAATGTATGGAGATAACAAACAGTATTCAAATTCAAAAGTCCATAAAACAATATAAAATAGGAGCAGACCAAACATGGACACTCAAAACATCAGAGGTGCATAGGACCAGGTGCCATGGAGGAGTGAACATCCCTTGCTGACCGGTCAAACCCGCCGTGTACTCCTTGTAATGATTGGGATGTAATAGAAAAATCCGTCGCCAATTTATTGTATAATGAACTAACAATTACTATGAAAACGTCAGTCAGTATTTGACTCAGTGATACTCGTAAATTGTGTTTGCTGACAAGGTCATTGTATCAACCAAAGAACTAACGAAATGATGGCTTTAAACAAGACTGCTGACATTCTTGTTTCATGAACCTTTTTGTCAATGATCAACCTCGCTTTAAAAATTATAAACCTCGCTTTATACGTAGAGAATGCTCTTGCGTATCGAATCACTTGAAAGATACAAACCCTTATACAGGTGATGAAGGTATCATGAATAAGATTAAAAATTGTGAAGTTAAAGTCATCGGGTTTATCATAAAATTCGGCTCTTAGATTACAACTAACGTTTTTTTTTTCATGTAAAATTTTCAAATATGAAACAAATGCATCAGTTTCTGTGATATCTTTTATCTCAAGCTCGCCTGGATATATCGTATCGACGTGAGAATGGAAATAACCATTGATAATTGTCAATACGTCGTCGATGTATCTAAATGTCGAGTTGAAGGCCAAAGCAAGTGTTTCCTTCTTTTGGCCAACAAGATTTTGGACAAATTCTGTTTCGTATTAACAAAAATATAGGTCTGCTTATAACTGGGCGCAATTGGTATCTATTCTAAAAACATTGTTGGAAAATCTGGTCTCCAAAAGCAACATGAATATTGTAGCTTTTTTTTTTAAATATCAACTTTAGAGTTCTTGTGTGTACAACAATCATGGTGTTTTTTTTTATTTTGCTAATGAACAATGGCAAGGTAAGAAAATTTTTGTATTAATTGAGAAAGCAGTTAACATTGATACCAAAAGCCATTTTTTAATTTATCGTGGGGAATGGTAGATTTTAAAGTTGAAAAGTTTTTAAGCTGTTAATGTTGGAAAAATCTTGTGATTTCAATTTTCAATGTTGAAATGAGAAGGAGTTTTAACATCTACCTTGAGTTTGACTAAATTAATACTGTTTTTTTTTAATTTTTATGACTCTGGCTTTAGTCATATGATCTTATATTTAGGTAAAAAAGGTTTTATCCCCAGAAGTGCTGGACTAGAATGGTACATATGTTTTTAGACTTTTTTTCAAGTGACCATATTGAGGTTTTTTGAAGCTCTAAAAGCTCTTTTACTGTTGTTCTTTTAAAAAAGAAAACCCATGGATATAATGGCAGGGATATAAAAATCGTTAAAAGTGGAACAGAGGAGAAATCTGGCTGCAAGTTTTCAAACTTGAAAAAAGTTGCTTTTTTGGTAGTTTTATGAAGAGACTTACTTTTACAATCGGCGGCTGACTTCTACAGTTTAAGCAGAGACAAACTCCAATTACTAAAATGTAAAAGTCAGCTGTCGAATGTAAAAGTAAGTCTCTTCATAAAAGTCCTTTTATAACCATTTCAAAATAACGTTTCGAAGTATATTATATGTCTATAATTTATTCATTCAGCCTGCTGATCCCAAAACCAGATCGACATAGGCGTTCTGATTATGTTCTGGGTGATATTCTTGTTGTTCCTAAAACAATGCAGTTGTCTTTTAAACTCAACCATAAACACATTTATTACATATATATTTAATACATAATATCAAGAAACTTGTCTGTAGATCTTCTCTAAAATTCGCCCTAATTTCATGGCACTTTTGTAGAGTTAGATGACCAACCATTTGACATAGAATAGAATAACTTATATCTGCACTGTATAGCATCGGTAATAATAAAAAAAAAATAAAGGAATCCAAACATTATGATACACCAAGATATAGTAGTTGAAAACTTTATTTGAATGTATTATCTCAAAAGAGTTGGCAAAAGCAATTTTTTATAGTCTTTTACAAAATAAAAATAGCACAGTTCCTTCTTTACGCTATTTAATTCTCTCAAATTCAAAAAAATATTTTGAATGAGTAAATAGAGGCTTCCAAGCTAATGTTGAAGATTTTGACTATTTTAAAAAAAAAATGAACAGTTATCTTATGCCTACTCAACCAAAGTCCGTAAAAATCATAAAAATCATTAGCAATAGAGGTTGCATCAGAAACATGTACAATGCATGTCCTTTTCACAATCAAATGATCTTTCCAGAGATTCGATTTAATGAATTTCAAATTTCAAATAAACGCTAAAATTCTTCGTTTCCTAACAATGATTTAATGTAAGATTTTCTAGATTTAAGGACAAATACTCCGATAAGGAACAAATTTTAACTACGTGTATAACTATTAATGAAACATTACGCCTAAAATACAAAAGCACAACCAAAACAAAACATAACGCACAGTTGTGGAATAAATTAAAATGGTTTTTTTTTTATCTTACGAAGAAATAATTTCCAAATGATTGAAGGTATGCCTCCTAAAACCAATGTTCACTTTGACATTTTTCATTAAAATTTTTAGATAAAATATTTTTAAAGAATATTACAAATTACAAATATTACAAATGAACAAAATGATGAAAGTTAACACAAAAAGATTAAAATCAACCCATCGTATATATTAAATGCATAAATTATAATTTTCAAACTCAGAAAACATTTATAATTATATTGATTGTAAACCTATCATTATATCAAAAAGCATAAAATGGAAATGGTTAATTCCTTTGCGATCTTCGTTCTGCTTTTTCTTCTTCCTGTTTTAATGTAATGTTTATCATTGTGATTACCGGTATGGAACACCTTACCTATTTGTATAAAGATTTGGTTTCTTCATACGGTAAAAAAGAATCGTGAGATATTGCTTTGGGGGAACTTAACTTTGAAATTAAAAGTTCTGTTATCTGTAGAATTAAATTATTGTCCTTATATATTACTGGATGGATATTTTTTTGGTATATATTCTTCATTTAATTAATTAAATCTTTAAGCATCATTTATTTTTGATAAGTTACAAATGGTGGATATAGGTCATAGACCAGTAGAATTTTAAGTACAAGGTAAACATAAAATATATTATTCCTGTTTGCCAATCAGCTCTCATAAGCTGAGTCATCGCCAATCAATTATTGATCTGATAGAAACATTTCCTTCTTGAAAAAAGGATCTGACGTTTAAAAAAATTTCAAGTGCAATGATAAAATGGTTTTGTTGAACACCTAATGGTACAGTGTCAAAGAAGTTGTCAGGACAAGCAGTTCTAAATGAAAAATTATAGCACAGCGAATTTGAAGGGAAAAGACAGGCACGTTTTTCGTTTAACTTTAAAGACTATCGATTTTATAGATATTAAATTTGTGTAAGGTTTTTCACTATAAATCTTTCGCTGATAAAGTAAAGGAAATTCAAGCACCAGATATCTTCGGTTTACAGGTTAAGTTTTGTACACCTGGTTTCTGGTTTTTCCTTCAATGTCTTATGGACAGATATTTCAATCAATAAAGAAACAGCCACTTTGCTTCATAAAATATTTTTTAAATTAATGATTGACGTACTTAATTCATTTTATTTTTTAAAATTCCAAGTCTTATAAATGAATTTTTAAAAAATCAATTTCTGGCATGTGCAACACTTTTTAGTTGAGACCAACTTTTAAAAATTGTTTGATCACCCTCTCCAGACCAACTGACTTAACTTGGCCCGACTCGAAACTTTTAATAACCTCCAGGAATAAAGGGGATTTTTTCATTACCGAATTTTCATTTCGTCAATATTTGTTGACATTTCTGGGATAGAAGATTTTCCGTCTCTTCTCCGCAATTTCTCTTTTACCACTGAATGAAATTTCACGAGACTTTTACAGAATTTTTGTTACATAATGCCATTGTGCACTTCCTTTTTTACTTTTTGATCAGACAAATATTTGGGTTTCCCAGATCGAAACATTGACAGGGCCATTTTTCTGTAATATTGAATGATATCCCTCGCTTTTCTGCAAATCCTCCTATATATCACCGATTAAAACTTAATGATACCTTTCAAAACTTTATAATTACATAATGCCATTGTGACCTTCTATTTTACATTTTGATTTCCCGATCAAGACAAGGAGCACACGGCGGATGTGACCAGTTAGCAGGGGATGCTCACTCCTCCGTGGCACCTGATTCCACCTCTGATGTTTTGGAGGTTCCTATTTGCTCTACTCCTATTTTGTATTGTTTCATGGACTTTTGATCTTGAATAATATTGGTTATCTCCAATTAGTTCAGTAAATTCTAAAAATAGTGTCAGGAATTATGTGCTACAAAATGCAAGTTGACTTTCGAAATAAGATAAAAGGAGAGTGGACGGGACATTTCAGCCATTAACTATCAAAATTTAAATTCATGTCACTAAAATTTAAAAAAAAAAAGATAGACTAAATAAAGCTGGAGAAATATTAATTTCATATATAGTTCAGAAAATGAAAGAACTGTGTAGAAATGCCGCGAAAATGTCTGCTTTCATAAAAAGAGAATGGAGGAATATTATAAGGATTCTGTTATCAGCGTTTCTGAGGTAAACGATAAATGATTACATGATCCAAAAGTACACTATGTATTCACATTGACATCATGGTCTTCTGAAACAAACTTTGAATATACACAAAAGAGTCTGTGTTTGTTTTTACATAATTTGTCACAAGTGGAGACATATAATTGACAATATTATACATTGGGCAGCTTGAAGTAGTCTATGATTTTTTATATTTACAGTAAATATAGACCTTGACATTTAACTTCATTATAATTTTGGTTCAAAGTTACTCAGTCTCCTCATCGTACTCAATTGTGCAGAAATGAATGCTGCAAATCCGATAACTATAGAATCAACACAAAAGATGATGAACCTAGTAGTTGAAATACCTCGAAATTGTTTGTTGATGACGATGTTGATCACTTTAGATAGACATAAACAATTCCATTCCTTGGCAGAGCCATCTTTGTTCAATTTATAAAGAACAAAAGGAACCCAAGGTTCCAGCGATGATAGAACAAAAGGATATTAAATAAAAGGTATTCAGTTTTGTAAGGATACTTTTTGTCCTGCGTATCACTTATCAAATGGTTTTCTTCAAAAATTAGTTTTATTGCTTTCCGTATAATTTTTTTCTTCCTCGAAAAAAGTGTGCAATGGATTGCAGGTGTCTGAACCAAATAGGCACCTTTTTTCATAATCATCCCAGTAGACTTTTCCGTATTCATGAGTTGGAGCACAGGTCATATTTTTCAAAATGTGATTTGTACATGTAATAAAACCCTCACATGTATAACATGACTGATAGTTCCCGTCCCCTTCATAAGTACAGTCGGTTTTACATCCTGTCAAAGAGAAATTGGTAGGTAAGGAAAAGATACCATATGAGCTTCAAATGAAAAAATGTAAGAGAGAAAAAGGGAGACGTAATACGAGGGTTGTTCGAAAATTCGTGGACGTTGTCAATCTTCGTTATATTATTTTCAATAAATCTAAAATAAGCCCAATATACTGAGTATAATATGTAAAAATATTTCTTTTGTTCATGTCCGAAATTTCATTTCATTCGATTGAACATCAATTTACTTCATCTAAAAATCAACATCCGTGGAGCACACTTAACGGAAATGTAACGTCAGAACATAGCGTCTAGACATTCATAAAAATACTATCGTTAAATCGTTTTTTCACAGATTTTCCTCATCAGATATAGTGTCTCTGTCACTCAAATACTGCCTGTACTATTGGAAACACATGTATACATGACTCGCTTGTGACAGTTATTTTTTATTCCTCCAACATTTTTAGAGATTATTCGGATTTTTTCCGAGTAAAACACAAAATTTTATTGATATCTGCTGCTCCATGGTGTTTTACAACACCATCGTTTTTTTCGTTTTTCATGAGAACTATTTCAAGTTGATTTCTTTTCAACGGAGCAAAATATTTAGACAAAATTTGAAAGATAATTCGATTTTAGAATAGATTAACCTGAGTTTCTAGATTTCTTTTCGGTTTTGCTCAATTTTACAGATAATTTGATTACAAACATTATTAAGTGTCCTTTTTGTAAGTTACTAAATACTGACCTGCTCCTCAATCCGATTTTTGCAGTTTTTTAAAATTAGTTCAATTTTGAATATATTGTGACATTAATTTTAAGAAATGTTAATGTTATCAATTGAATTAATTTTTAAAACATTTCTAACAAATTAAGATAATATTTGACGTCAAATAGAAAAAATATGACATTAGTCCACGAACTTTTTTTATTTTTTTTTTTATTTTTTTAATGCAAATTATCAATTTGATTACTTACTAACTGCATGAATTAATTTGTAAAATTGCCTGTGGGTTTCCACTTTCAGTACGTCAAAATCTGCAAACATTTGACGAAGTTAGTTCAATATTAAAACATTTGTTGAATAAAATATGAAGACAACATAAAAATTCATATTTACCTGTTTTGTTTGGAAAACTTAGTGAAAACAAGTCTATGCTCATCTTTGTCCTATTTGAAAAATCTTCCATATCTATTTTCATAGATTAAAAAAAAACATGTAAATGATTTAATTTGAGAACAATGTTGAAAATACAAAATTGGTCGCAATAACTGTACCCCGAATTTAGATGATATTAATATAATTTTTATAAAGTATAGAAAAATATAAATTTTACGATTGTAACGTTTTTTTTTTCTTTCTACAAATGTCTTTTGCATGTATTCTTTTTATTCTCATATAACTCGAACTTGGTATTTTTTATTGGGGGCATCATTTTTATCCTACCATTTTGTAAACCACCTATACGATTCATCACGTCTACGTTGCTAACGTTAGACATAACTCGCTGTAGAAAAGAACCGTCACTCAATTGTTTATCTACAGCAGAAGGAAGGCTCTCACTAAGACTTCTTGTGCTGAAAACACTTGCAATGGCTGCTGATAAAATAGCACAAACTAAGATCATGCAGAATAGGACCATGTATTTCTTTGCATGTCGACCTGTCTTTTTAGGAAGTTCCATCTTTAAAAACCGAACAAAAATATTAGATTTTACTTTTTGTATATAGTTTATACTACTTTTTTGGCATTATAAGTATAATTTCCTTATAAACATAATTCGATTTTTCTGTTAAAAATATATAAATGTGTACCTGGTATAGTATTTTCGGAACATTGTTCGCTTTCTGAATCCCCTGTTCACTTGTGTCCAAACGCTACAATAAGATGACTTTGATATGAATACGTAGAGATGGATACTAAGTACGGTCAATTTTATTTTTATCTTCATGGAATCATTGTCATCCGATCATTATATATACATGTAATTTTTCACAGTGCCAATGTTAATGCACCTGATGCATATGTAGACCAATTACTAGTTTGTCTCTTCAGTGGTACACATGCAAAAAACGGTGAAAATCCGAAATATTAATTTAAAAAAATAATTGAAGAGCCGAAAAAAGGATGCTAAAATACTGGAGCCACTTCCAGTAAATATGGACAGTTTTGCATTTCTTTTAGGGATGTATGATAAGTCTAGTAGTATGATTTACACCTATGTCTGTATACAAAATACGTTTTATTACGTTTACACTCAACATATTCTGAAAATAAAAACGGGGAAAATATTCATGATTAATAAAAGATAATTATGTGTTAAAATTTCGATTCAAAACTTTTTGTGAACCAATCAATCATTTATAGCTAATAAAGTGATACCTTTCCATCAGTCCTCTCGGAAAAACAACTTTCTGTAGCAATGCTGTTGCATCTTTCAAGTTCGATATGATGTATACACTAAAATAATCAAAAATTAGAGAGTTAAATAACCAGAAATTGAAAAACTAAAAATATCTTCGTATGTGTTTTAAACTTCAAACGTTTAGCTCATCAAAAAACAAAATGATGGTGTTCAATATTATTATTGCAACTTTCTTGTCTCCTTTTATTTTATCGTTTGTGACAAACACGCTGGCTAATATTTTGTAAATTATGAATACTTGAAATTTAGATTTAGTAATCGATATCCATTTTTTACATTTAACATGTGCATTATGCTATATATAATGTATATAGTAAAATTTAATGCGAAAATTAAAAAAGTTCATAGTCATTATGTCCTCTACAAACCATATTTTTAACAATACAACTTTTATAGAATTGAAGTTGTCCAAAACATGGGTTTGAATGTCTTGGTCTACGGAATATACCTATTTTTTTGGAGGGGGGGGGGGGGTATATTTTAAAAGTCTTTCCTTTCTTTGGTATTTTAATAAAACAGACTTAAACTTAAGTTAAAGTTTTTATCACCTGTAAAATGTCAAAAGAATCGCTGTATTTGAAGATAATAGCACTTTGGTGTGGCAATATTAAATACACGTTTCATTTTGGATTATTTGAATGCAACAAAATATCAGCTCCAGGTAATATTCTTGATTGAAGCTGACCACGATTCGTAAAAGGAATGTGTCCGTCATTTTTGTTCGGATTCTCGCTATATCTGATGAACCCGATATGTATAGGGTTTGACCTAGATACTGTATTGTAGATAATGATATCGAAAATTGCGTATATCTATTTACGAGTCGTGTTCAGCTTCAAGCTTTAGATCTTTCTTGACCCAGGAGCCTGACAGCTAGATGCTTAAGAGTAAGCATCATCGGTAACTACGAAAAGATAATTTAAGTCTCGGAAATTCCTCCCTTCATCTTTTGCAGTATACATTTGATTGCAAGAGTGTTTCAACTTTGAAATAATGTTTTACGTTAGAGTGTAGTACTTTTATTTTAGTACAAACCTCCAGTACATGATCTTTTGGTTTAATGTAAAAAAAAAAATACCTGATCAATGTCTAGGTACGTATGAGAAGAAACGTTACTTTTAGCAGAGTCTTTCTTATAGGTCTAGAATGCAAAACAAAAATAAAATACATGCATCATTCATTTCCTTGTTTGTTATGTTTTGATATTTTTAAAAATATGCATAACATTTTTCTATTTCAATTGCATTACCTTACTTTGCAAGAATCTCAAATCTAGAGTTTCAAAATTTTTAAGTTACTCGTATTCAAAACGAAACAGTTAAGGGTATTTCCTATTGTGTTACTCACCTTACAACTGGCATAGCTACTGCTATTTGTGCTAATTCTGTGATCATCCACGTGACGTTTCTGTAACATGACAGAAAATCAAACTTTTATATCGTATTGTTAAAAAGTCAAGGTTCAATATCATTAACTAGTATTTAAACGTTAAGAAAATTATAACTGTAATATACCTTCAATATTTTTGCATTAAAATGATTAGCAATTTATATTTCATTCTTCATTAGATATTAGTAATTATTTTATATACTAGTATTTCTCTCATGATCAATGCCAGGGAAGTTTAAAAGCGATATGATTTCTAAGTTTGCATATTTTGATAATGTGATGTTGGCAGAAAAAAAAAGATTTCCTATAAGTTTAACCAATAATTAAATTTATCGTTTTAGTGATGGACGGTAGATGGTTAAAATGATATTTGTTACGTTGCCCAAGAAAGCAAGTTTGAAAAGACATGTGTTTTTAGTTAAGTAATGTGTTATTAAAGACTTCCAATTTACACATTGACAAATAGTTGAATATCTTAACAATAATATGATTATTAAAAACCTAAGATATCGTTGACTTTAGATTTGAAACATATTAGATAGTATAAAAAGTAGGCACCCATACTCTATCCACGTCTCTCCCGAGACAGAAGACTTGGGTTTTGATGGTCGCCATGCTTATTTTTTGAAAGGATATTCTTATCCACCCATTCCGTTGTCGAGATTTGATTTCATTTCTGAGAGATGAACTGTTTTTATTATAAAAATTAACCTACGTGGAAAGAAATATAAAAGTCAAAAAAAAATTCTGCTTTTGTGACAGAACGCGAAAGAGGGGATCACGTGACTGCCTATATCTCGTGATTCGTGCATGAGCAGAACGGTGGCAGATGTCCATTAAAATTGGAGAGGACTAATTAAAGATATAATCAAAACTGAAACCAAATATTGTTTCTTAGATGGAAGTTATTCAATTAGTTCGCAAATTTTTTTATCACCCCTCGTACAGTTTTATATAATTCAGCTAACGAATTTGTTGACAGGTTTTAAATGTTACTGAGATTTTTTTTTGCTGTTGGTTCTTGATTTTGTCTTTTCAGAAAGAAGCGATGACGAACGGTGTTGATCAGGATTGCCTGCATCAATGATTTCTGGTCAAATACCATACATCACAATTATCAACTTGGCTTAGTACCCTTTCGAGAAGTTTGGGGATGTGTACCATATTTTACAGTGGTTAAATTTGTGAAATCGCAAATTTCAATTTGACCATTGACATTGTTGTATTTTTATGGCTGATTTTGATATATGTGAAGGCAGATGTTGATATATATATGTAATGTTGACTAGGGAATGGTCACTCCGGCATGGCACCTGATCCCACCTCTGGTGTTTGGGAGGTCAGTGTTTGCTCTGCTCCTATTTCGAATGATTTGTATCTCCATATATTTCATCTTATATCACAGACATTGAAAGTGTAAAGTGTATCATTTGTATTACTTACTTTTTTGGAAGCTTTGAAAATTTTCGAATGAAACTAGAATTAAAAAAGAAAAAAATTAATACATTTTCATTTCGTCTAATCGGTTTTGAAAAGATTTTTTTCTTTTACTTACTCTGAGAGGGATAAATCTTCTGCGTTTTTTCTGTAAAATAAGAAATTTTCTGTTCAAAATCAAGCAATCATTGCACTCATTTGGTCTATCGCCATAACTGAGAGTAATTAATGATTATGTATTTCAAATAATGTCTTTGGAAAATTTTATACAAAGGCCTTACAATTGTTATGAAACAAGACCATTATATCTGTTATATCAACGTTTTAAAATTTAAGTATTTCGAAGTTATCTATCGTTTTTTTTAATTGAAAAACTTAATAAAACATATCAGTCAAGAAATTTGGAAATGGAAATTGTTGCCTTTAAACGAGATTTTTGAAAGTCTTATAACAATATTTGCTTGCCTTGATTGGGTGAAACTGTACTAATATTATTCATGCTTATCTTGAACAAAAGAACTTTAAACTGTATCACCTGACTCTGGGTATGTTCTACTTGACAACTCGTCTGTTGAGTGTTTGCATCGTGCTACAATTCAAAAAAAAAAAAGAAGAACAGTATTGAAAAAACAGGTGTATGTGTCGCCATTTCATATTTATTAACGAAACGGTTTTTTTTATATATATATAAACGGTTGATGAATATGAAAGCCAATAATAAATATTCTTAAGAATTTTTAATCATCCACGTATTTGCATATAAAGAAAAATATCTCTGTATAAAATAAGTATGCGTGGAGTTATGTTGATTGTTGTTAAAAAATAATTGGTTGGTTTATTTTGACTTAATGCTAAATCAAATTCTAGATAATGTTTTTCCTGTTCTATGTTGCGTGTAAAACATTTTTAAAAATTATTTGTTTTTATACCTTATATATATTTCATTTTGAAAAATATTGGCCATTGTTTTTTATATCTTTTTAAAAAAAGACATTAAAAAACAAAATTGATTCTCTTTAAACATAAATTTACTCTTGAAATCTAAATAATTTGCTAGTTTTAGTCCATTAATTCAATGTACATTTATAACTAAGTAAATCACAAGGTTAAAGTAAAATTTAAAAAAAATGTACAGAAGTTTAATGGTTTAGAGAAAAAAACATTTATCCAAAAACTAAAAAGGTAGAGACACGTCTGATACTATACTTATTCTGTCTAGTTATAATATTTTTATTTCCCCATGATTCGTTTTCATAACATCAACCCTCATTGGCATGGTCATTGTTTGAAGTGGACTAGTAGTCCAGACTTGAATTATATAATTCTTTATTCAATAACTTTAAACCATAAGGCTCATCGGGGGGGGGGGGGGGGGGGGGGGGGGGCTAGTGTCCATCTGCCTAACTCCAATACTGATACACCAACAGATATACAATATATTTCACATTCTCCATAATTACATGAAAAATTACTATAGTATAATACATGTATACATATATGAATTATATTATTCATTATTTCTTAATTTCATTGATTAGAGAATAAATTTCCCTAAACCAATTACATCCCTAACATCATGAGATCTGAGTAACTGAGTAAGCTTGTACATATTTGGAGATCTGAAATAATATGGTTTGATAAAGTTTTATAAATAGTACATTCAAGTAAAAAAATGATATTCATCTTCTATACAGTGATTACTACAAAATTGACATAATCTATTGCTTTCAATTTTTCTAATATCTTCCTGTTCCTATACTTAAGTTATGGAAAGAAAGCCTTATTCTTGTAATATTTTTATTTAATTTAGAATAAATAGATTTTGTCAAATATGCATGGATTTTTGAAAATTGTCACACACAATGTGTTTGTACAAAACACACTTTGTTGAATTTTCGAAAAAAGCATTACAATCTTGAAGATAATTATCCAACAGTCTTTCCTTGTACAAAGATATAAACTGTGTTGTATTAATAAAATCTTGCTTAAACCAAAAATTTCCAAGTTCTTTTCTAAACAATTCATCTTTAACATCCCTTTCCCAATTAATTTTAGAATGTAATTTATTTTCTGCATTGTGCAATAGATATTCATAAGAAGATTTCAATATACAGTTATTTGTATGAAGTAATTTACACCAGTATTTCATAATTCTGATTTTCCTGGATATGATTAATGGATACCGACCCAATTCACGATAAACCATGTAACTACATGTAGATCTTTTAACTCCTAGCAAATTTTACAAAACATAAGATGGATGCGCTCTATTTCAGGTGATTTGTTGAAACCCGAAATTTCACAACCCTAATTCAAAACACTTAATATATATGTATCAAATAATTGACAATGTGTTTCTGCATTAAATTCAAACATTTGAATATTTCGATTTAGTCCAAAAAATTCCTTTCGTTCCTAATCTGCCAGCTTTTTCTGTGTAGAAGTAAATTTACCATTATAAAACAATGCAAGGCCTAGATAATTGAAGAAATCGACGCACTCGAGGATTTGATCATTATAAGTCCATGATGAATTTACTGTTCCACTGTTTTGAAATACCAGTATCTTTGTTTTTGATCCATTTACGGTCAGGTCCCATGTAGAAACATAACGATACAGAGAATCGAGCATTGTTTGCAACTCCTTGGGCGAATTGGCCTTACTGAATTTACTTCCTATGTCGGTACATTGCATAATTCCATAAAATTTATCTTTCAAATTCTATTTTGAGTCTTATTATATTATCTTCAAAAAGGATTGTGTTATATTTGAGAACATTTGCAAATATCTTTCTTAGATGAACCTATTGAAGAGAAAATACGTTCAATTCTGTGTGAATTCCAAGTCAGAGGTCATAGCGCGACTAGATCACAGAGCGATGTGATATTTTGACCAAACAACTTCTAGATTATTGCGCGTTACTACATAGCAATACGTTGGCCCGTTCTTATAATAAATACAATTTAACTCAAAATGTATTCGTTTCAAATGTAAATTTAAGTAAAAAACAACAATGTTAAAAAGTTCACCGGGGAAGAACTTTTAGTTGGTACGCGATAAAATCTTCTGAGAAGCACTTCGGGCTTCACAAGATTTGATCACGTGACCGACTAAAAGTTAATTTCCCAGAGAACTTTTTAAAATTGTTGTTTATTTCTTAATTAAACCCAAGCCCTTTATCGTGTTGAAATAAGAAAAAGTCAGGATTTTGAACAAAAAAATGTCTTCTATATATATAATACATAACTACCAATGTTTTCCAACACAAAAAAGGGACAATAAAGAAAAGAATCACCTTCAGTCTTTGCCACCTTGATATTATACATTTGATCTTGGGGTCAGATCATACCATCCTTGAACGGGTTATCTTTGTACAAAAGAAGTAATGGACTAGGCATTTTATAACTCTTGCGAGCAATATCTTTCTCCAATAAAGCAGGTGAAGCTTAAGAACAGTGATCGATCACAAAAAATCTATACGCAACAGAAATATGTGAAGGGCACAAAAGACGGATCCCTGGACATTCCACACTTGTTTATTGAAATTCATGTAATAAATCTATCATCAAAGAGATTGTATTCATTCCAGAGTAAGGAAAACTAATAAAATGAAACAGAAAATGAAATATAACTTTCATTCATTTTATCAAAGGGTTATGCAATGTTTAATTTTTAATTTTTTCAAGATACAGTTCTGAATTATCATGCATCTCAATATTTAAATCAAAACAGCCTACCGATTCCAAAACGAGATCAACATAGGTGTTCCGGTCATCTTCAGGTTGTTCCTTGTTCTTTTCCTAAAGAGATAGTTTAAAGATTGCAGTTATGCGTGTATCTCCTCCAACAATTAATAATCAAATATAGATGATATAAATTACATATTTGGAATACATAATAATGTTTCAGTGTAGGTTTTAAAGCAATTATTTTCAGTTTCTGTATTTAGAGTAAGAAATAAAATTGAAGGCAAAGAGGTAGATTCGCGTACTCCATAAATTGGTCCTGTCAATATACTAATTAACTGACCAAGTCCTTACGTCCTAATACGATCATCAACATAAAGTAGAGACTTAGTGCTTTCATTTCCTATAAAAAAAATTTCCTATGAGAGTCCAAATTTGCCAACCTAGGCGTTGTGAAAATGCAATGTTCTTGATTTTTGAAGAAAATGAATGGAATTGAGCATCTTCAACTTTTGATAAAAATATGAGCCCACCCTGCGATCCAAAAATTCTTTGATGGAATAGAATTTTCTAAAACAGTTCTTTCATTATATAATTCAACATTTTAGATCAGAGGTTGGGGGCTATGCAAAATATTGACAAACAGCTTAAATTTTTGGTCATTTTTAACGATATTTTCAAGATTTGAGGAAAATGACGAAATCCATGACGTCATAATACATAGACAAGAAAAAAAATTACGTCATTTTTATTTGATATGAAATCAACAAGGGTCCACGTGAAATATAACATATTTTCAACTAAAACTGAGTAGTTCTTATTTTTCAGAAATTCACAGGGCCAAAAATGGACCAATGTGAATTTTCTTCTTTGTTCTGTTAAAAGAGTACAAATTTCCAATTGTCATTTTAATTCAAAAGTCATTGTATTTGTGAAAAGCCCAGGAAATGCAAAAGTAAAACTTGACCGTTAATGTAGCTCATCTGGTACAGTGCTCGCTCTTTATCTATAAACAGATAGCAACTGTTTCTATGTCAAGCTCTGGGCACTTTGAAGTGAAAGTTATGTGTCCTTCAAAATGAAACTTTAAAAACCAATAATCCGTTTCACGACAGGCGTTTGCATAATAAAGATCCTACACTGCTAAATGGCCTTAAGTGTTAAATAAAGGTTTTAATCTTTGGAATACGGTGACGTCTCTATATGAGCAAAAAATTTTGAATGAAACCAAAACAACATACAATCAATCAATTACACTAAATAAAAACAAAATATAATGAAAACTTGCATCACTATGATTTTTGGTAAAGATCTTTGTTAGGTTTTCAAAGTTCAATCAAAATATCAAGAAATAGATGAAAAATATTAAGATAACAAACAGTATTTAAGATCTTAAAAGTCTATTAAACAATACGAAATAGGAGCAGAGCAAACATGGACCTCCAAAACATCAGAGGTTGGACTAGGTGCTATGGAGGAGTGAGCATCCCCTGCCGACTGGTCACACCCGCTGTTTGCTCCTTGTCATGTATGCATAATTAATTTTATTTCGAATATCAATTCATATATATATATATATATATAAATTTTTTATTTCCATTTGAACTTTAAATTAATGTTCGCCGAAAAAAATACATAAAGAGAAACGAAAACTTTCCACAAAAAGTTAATATGTGTACATTTGAGTATACAATTACATAAATATTTAATGTTGAATGAAATTTTTCCAAGACTATAGCTACGAATTTTCGGTTTTGACACAAGTTACATGAAGCAAAAGTTATTGACATAAGTATAATTGCTGAGAAATATGTCCTGTAAAATTTACCTAAAAAATTTAATTAACCACAGGTCTAAATTGAGTTATTTTAACTTCAATGACATTGATTTCATGCAATTGACGTAGATAACATTACAATGTCTACCTACCATTTTTTCAAATGCATCAGCTGGAAACGGTATATTCCTATATTTTTTATCTTCTTTTTTATTCTTCCTGATCGGTGATAATTTTACTTATCTCTGTGGTTATATAATACGTTACTTATCTGTACAAAGATAAGGCTTATTCATAGTCTAAAGAATGACGTGATATATATGTGGGGTACCTTGAACTTTGTAATATAATGATTTCTGTTATCTGTGTGTCCTGTTCATACCGCATTTTAATATTTTCCTGCTAATGAAACTTTAGGGTAGAATAGATTAAAATCTTGTATGTTTGTTCATCAGTCTGGCCAATATCCCCACTTTCTTTTTATAAATGCATTTAAGTTTTGTACGTTAGTGTACCTTAATGAACAGTTGAAGTTTACAATATTATTTAATTTAAATGGTTTCTATCGTAATTACGGTTATATTTGAATGGGAAAAATATTTGTTTAACAATAAAATAATTATTAAATTCCTTAAAATTTAAACATATCAGATAATAATAAAGAGAAGGCGCCCAAACTAAATACATATTGGATTCACAAAGGACCAAGACAAAGGCTTTGAGTTGTAATTGTCATCATGCTCATTCTGAGAAAAGATATCGTTTTCTGCCTATTCTATTAAACAGTTTTAGCCATTTGTGACAAAAGGACTACTCTTGTTATAAAAAATAAACCTGGATGGTAAGAATATTGAACTTGTAAAAAAAAAAGGAAGGGAAAAGGCAACTGTTATTTTCTTTTTTTCTGTTCTATATATACTTTTTCAGTATTTTTATACTAAAAATAAGCTTTTGGTGCTCAGGGATCTCCCTTGATGACCTATACTGAAATATCTTCCAGGTTAAAAACCAGATAATACACGTTAAGGCATTGTCAATCAATTATTGATCTGATAGAAACATTTTTTTCTTATCAAAAAAATGTTAACAATGTAGTTTCAAGTGTTATTGTTAAACTCAAAAACGTTTTCCATTTTTAATACAAGAACGTAGTGGTTAACTTTCAAAGATAATGTCAGTAAATCAACATGATAAAAGACAAAATAGTAGCAGTTTAGTTGAAACTCATTATTTCGAAGTTCTATGGTCGATACAATGACCTTGTCATCATATACAATTTATACAAATGCTGACTAACGTTTTCATACTAATTGTTATGCCATTATTTACACACTGATTGACGACGGAATCTAAGGATTTTTTCGGGGTTGTTTTCGATCATTGGCCGGAGTAACCGGTCGGCAGGGGATAATTACTCCTCCATGGCACCTGATCCGACCTCTGGTATAATGTAGGTCCGTGTTTGCTCTTCTACAGTTTTGTATTGTTTATTGGGCTTTTGAGCTTGCATATTGTTCGTAATCTCAATATATTTCAAACTAAAAATTAAAGCACTGGGATTCGATGGAAAGTGGTTCAACTTTTTTCATCTTGATCATTATCGATTTCGTAAATATCTAAAAAGAAAAAATGGGGGTAAATCGGGAATTTTTTCACTGATAAAGTTAACAGAAACATTGAGTCTTGGATATAACTAACTTTATAAAACTTTTATCGAACACGTGTTTCTTTTCTAATTTTAATTCTGAAGCTAATGGCAACACATCATGCAAAAATGTTACTCCCAAAAACCGACTTATAAGCGAGTACATACGGTATTAATAGGTAATAATATTATGTAGTCGTAAAATATCTCTTCACAGCTAATCTTTCTTGTTGACTTTCCCAACTTAAAATAAATACCCACGGTATAATCTTTTCATGTGAATAAGACTATCAAACTTTTTTCTACCTATATAAAAGATTTTACTATATTCAAGTAATGTCGTAAATCAAAAGTTTTAGTATTAGTCAAACATAGTATTTTTTCAACCAAACTCATACTGTTAAATCTTATTGAACAAAAGGTAGGATTCTTCTCATATTTGTTATATTCAAATATTAATGAAATTTTCACAGAATCAAGAAGACAATATCACAAAGTGATAGTTTCGGTGAGATTAAAATTTGAGCGTTTAAATAAGATGCAAGGTCAGGTCAAGGTCATTGCGGAAGATTCTCACGTTTGGATACCGAAAGGTATTCAATCGGGTCTGTAACTAAAGTTGTTAACTTAAAAATATAAAACAGCATTCTGCTGCATTCTCATGAAGTGGTATTGATCTGCTTTATATTTCTTAGGAAAGAAAACATGGTCTTTAAAATATCTTACACTTAAATATATAAGATATATATGCAAATATACTTTGAAAATTTCGTCTAGTCAAAAACCAGAGAAGAATCCTACCTTAAGGTTCATAGATACTCTGATAAGAGAGATAACTCTCAATGACATAAATGTCTATTATTCCTTTACAGATTTGCCAAGTTGAATTGTCTTTTTCTGTCCAAATTTGCATCGCAAGCTATGCTATAATTGTTTGAATTTTACTTATAAAATACATTTCTTTTGGAAAATCATTACAGTTCAAGTAACATTTTATTTGAGTGAGCAGAGGGTTTATGAACCTTAAATCGAGTTACGTTTTATATTAAACAGAATTATTATAATTATGTAGAAATAAATATTCCCATGATTGCCATCATTGATATTAATATATCAATATTCGTTATGTTTTAAGATAAAAAAAAATGTCAAAAAAAGAAATATGAGGAAAACTAATTGTAATCGTACTCGCAAGTCTATTAAAGCAATAAATGCACATACTTTGAATAAATGAAACAAAGACCTCTAAAAGCATTATCTTTTTATTTCACATAAATCATTAAACTGCCTAACGCAAGTGTGTGCTAATATATATTCTTGCGAAATTGATTGTTTTAAAAAGATTTGATGTTAGACAAAATAAAAGATTTATTCTTGAAATTCAATGTAATAAATTTTTTTTGTCGTATTACACTGGTCTCAGGTTCTTAAAAGGTCTAGATTCTTGACACAAATTGCTTAATTTTTGATACAATAAAAGGCAAATTACATGCGGAAAATAACATGAAGTAATTGCCCAATAGCATCAAACTGCCTTTGCTTGACACAGCTTTGACTGCTAATAATGGTAAGTGGATCGATTATTTTGAAATACTAGTGTTTTTTAAGATTTAAACGCATATAAAATCGCAGCCAATGTAATGGATAACACAAAAGAAACACATTGGGGTTAGCACTCATACGTTTATTGTAGATAATTATGCAAGACTTAGCTGAATCATTAATATTTCCTTATTATACGCATGCCTCGTGTCTCAAAGATAGCAATTGTACTCTGTTTTCCTATGAAAGACCGAAATAAGTGTTGGATAAAAAAGTAAAATAGAGGTACACAATGCGATTTGTAATAAAGAATCTATGAAAGTCTCATTAAATTTCATTCAGAGGTATAAGAGGAGTTGCAGATAAATGATGAATATCTAAAAGCATTGCAGACGGACGGACGGACATACAGTCGTATAATTATAGTAATTGAAATATCCATCCATCCTTCTGTTACGCTTTGGGTATCTCTTATCCGCAACTCCTCTCATTCAAATGAATGACTTTCACAGAATCTTTGTTTCATATTGCCATTGTGCAATTCATATTTCCCTTTTTTGATCCGACACATATTTTGGGTTCCCGTAGCAAAAAATAATCATTGTCATTATATTCATATGGGAGGCGAGGGTATCATTTAGTGAGCTAATTGCTCACAGTACCTCTAGTTTACATAATGTAGCGTGGATCACATGTACTTGAGATAAATTGGCACTGTTTTGCAACATCATCCCAGTAAATCTTAATGTCTTCGTGAGATGGAGCGCAAGTTAGGTTGTTTAAAATACCATTTAAACATCTAATAAATCCTTCACAAGTATAACAAGACTGGTAGTTTCCATCCACTTGGTCAAGACAGCTTGTCTTGCATCCTGTAGAAAAAAAATAATTTGAGAGTGTTTTTTTCTTTTTCTCATTGCTGAATTGTATTCTTTTACACGTACTTTGTAATCATCCTTTACAAAAGGGATAATTTAATTATAATGATTTTAATATATGATTCTCCAAAACATTTACTTACTTCTTGCTTGATTTAATCTATTTAAATCTCCCTTGATCTCCTCTTTCCAGACATTGAAATCTGCAAATATTTTACAAGATAAATTTTACAGTAAATTACCAGGTACATGTGACAAAGTAGTGTTGTTTATGATCACAATAAGAAATGAGATAAGAATCTACCAGATTTGTTTTGTGAAGCTTGTAGAAGTAGTTCGATATGCATCTTTGTCTTATTTGAAAGGTTCTCCATATCTGCTCTCACGACTAAATGAATAAAGTTAACATAAAATAGAAATTGTTATAAGAATATTTAACGAAATGTCAAAAAAATATCAGAACATTAATACGAGGCAAAAACAATGGAAAACGTTAACCAATTAATAACATATACCAGTAAATAGTATCAATTATCTTTTTCTCGCTGAAATCAATGGTATTTTGTTAAGGGCCGTGGACACAGTTTCAACTAAAATTTCAAAATTTATTTTTCCATTTTTACAAATATTTAAGAAGGGTCTTTCTAATAATTATTAAAAATTTGAACGTCAGTTGTCGAGATACAGAACAGATTTGGAAGCTTCAAACCTTTCTTATGTAAACAAGGTCTGTGTCATGTTTTTGTTTACATAGGTTAATACACTAAAATATGCTCATTCAGGGTAGATAATTTCAAAAAAGAAGTTTCTTTTAAATACGATTCGACATTTTCTATTGCTTTGCTACATTTCATTCTGTTATGAATATGATTTTTTTATGTGTAAAAAAAAAAAAAACAAGGCACGAGCCTTGTTTACCTTATGAAGAACTTTAAGTTCTGTATCTCGATGTTAATGAACAAATGACGTTCAAATATTTCCTGATCATTTGATGATGCTTTACGTAGGAATTGTAAAAATTATAATTGGTTGTAAAAAATCTGTTAAAACTGAGTCTATACTCCTTTAAGAATAGGTGTATAATATATAAAGAATTTTATTTCATGAAACTTTTTCTTAAAGCTTGCTTTATTCGCCCTTTGAATAGATACTAAATATTTTTCATTCAAAAATTTTCCATCGGCTTCATTTTGAATCCATTTTAGCTATATAATAAATTCGTATACTTTATTTTACCATACCGCTTTCTAAGCTGTCCATAAGATCTTTCAATTCTCCGTTAGAAGTGTCTACGCGGATTTGTTCCAAAAACTCCTCTTTACTTAATTGTTGTTCGACTGATGATGGTATATTTTGTAGTAGGAGCTTTGTGCTGATAACGCTAGCGATGACAACTGATATAATAACACATCCCAACATTAAACAGAATACGCCAATATACTTCTGAGAAGACCCACTTGTCCTTTTTGGGAGTTCTACCTATTTTGAAATTAAAAACCAAAATGTATTGTCCATATGTACCATATTGGTTATTAGATAAGGGCAGTTTTTTTAACAGCTTCACCGTACAGACATAATCCCTGTGCTGATTGAATGCTGGCTAAAAAATTGTCTGTTTTTTTTTTTTTACATTCTTTGTCTTTTTTTTAAATGTATTTTTTAATCAGATCGGGGAATCTGTAGAAATATTATTCAAAAACTTATGTAGTATGCATGTAATTGTGAATCTTGATGTAAGTTTAGATTGAAAGGCACAAAGAAGTAAAATATAGTTAGATAATTTTGTCGACTGTAACTTTACTTTAATAGAAGCTTTATTAATTACATCTGAAAACTACTCACCTGACTCTGGGTGTGTCTATTACAAATTTTCTGTTGAGTGATTGTATCAGACTAGATTTAGAAAGAGAATATTACTATATGATTAATTTAAATATCTTGGTCATGTGAAATAGCTTTTAGATATATATTTTTGTTAAGAGAAAACCAAAGGCATATTATGAGTTTTGCACAATTTTTAAATTTTTGTTTCTCGAGGCTACAATAAACAATTGTTGTCTGAGAAAAATTTGTTGGAAATGAAAATCAAATTGTTGCCTGAAGCTACCAGAATATTAGTACAATATAGGCAAAACAATATATTGTCCTAACATTTGCTCAGATATTACTTTAACATATTCACTGCTGGCTTTCAACAAATCGTAATATGAACATAAGAAAACAATCGCACGATAGACAAAATAAAATTTATAATAAACGAAATTTTCTTCAAGTTGCATTTTCATCCTTTCTATGGGTCAAAAACGTAATTTGTATAAGGCATTACCTTTTAAGATTTCTCCTTTTTAAAGATATGGTTTGACACAATGGTACCAAAGACTCACAGACAGATTTTACAAGGAGCACTTATAAATGAACATCCCTTTTTGGTGAAGATTTTCAATACTCATTTGTGCGGAATCTTATGCATGAAAAGAAGAAAACATTTATTGTGGCCTTCAACTTGACATTAAGATATATCGACGACGTATTGTCAATTGACAATGGTAATTTCCATTCTTATATCGATAAGATATATCCTGGTGAGCTTGAGATAACAGATACCACAGAGTCTGACACATCTGTTTCATATTTGAATATTTTACTTGAAATAGACGTTAATGGTAATCTAACAATTAAGCTCTATGATAAACGTGATGACTTTAACTTTTCTATCGTCAACTTCCCTAACTTCTTATGCAACAATAGACCTTCATCACCTGCATACGGAGTTTATATATCTCAGTTGATTCGATACTCAAAGTATTCTGTACATGTAAACAATTTCTAAAATGAGTTAAATTTTTGACAAACAAGTTGATGAAACAAGAGTTTCAGCATTCTCGTTTAAAGTTATCATTTCGTAAGTTCTATTGTCTATATTATGACCTTGTCAGAAAATACAATTTATTTATGAGTTAAATGCTGACTGACGTTTTTCATACTAATTGTTAGTCCATTATTTATACAGTGAATTGACGATGGATTTTTCCGTTATTTCCCGATCATGACAAGGAGCACATGCAGATGTGACCGGTCGGCAGGGGATGCTCACTCCTCCATGACACCTGATCCCACCTCTGATGTTTTGGAGGTCCGTGTTTGCTCAGCTCCTATTTTATATTGTTTTATGGACTTTTGATCTTTAATACTTAAATACTTATATTCTTTATCTCCTTATGTTTCATAATTATAAAACTTGATAAAGCATATTGAATTTTAAAAAAAGAGAGAGACGTCTATCTACACTAGTAGTATGCGGTAAAATATATACATATTTCATGAACTTAAGTAACCTTGGATTCAAAGACTGTTATACCAATCTCTTGATAAACAGAGTGACGTCTTCTTATTTTAAACTTCGAATTTTAAGAGCAGGATTAAAGTGACAGCTCTACACAAAAGCTAAACAAAACGCAAATGATATATGCTTCAGAGATCTCGAGTCGAATTTTTTCCCTTTTAAAACTTTTACTTAGACTCTTCATATTGCCAGTTACGTTTATATGCACCTGTATACCTCTATTTTGAACACGCAACCTACCGATTCCTGAAACAGGTCCACAAATGTGTTTTGGTCTTGTTCTTTGGGATTTTTATAGGTTTCCTAAAAAACATATGTTTTACTCAATATTAGAACGTATAATTTCTTTGTTTTATATAACTTTATTTTTTTAAAAATGGTACGATAAAAGTAATTGAGAAGTTATGCACAGACTTGTTTAAATTGGTTCCAGCAAGATCTCATGGTACCACATGACTTTCCTTCTTCTGACTTAAATATTTAATATTAGTTCATTTATTTATTTATTTATTTATTTATTTATTTATTTATTTATTTATTTATTTATTTATTTATTTATTTATTTTTTGCTCGAATAACTACACATAAAGATCTGTCCATTTTGGCATCTGCATGCAAACATAACAACACAATATTTTAAAACTCATACGAAATGTAAAATGGATTCTTTTTTTTTTATAAAATGAAATATCAAATACCTCTTTCAGTGATATTCTATTAATAAAATGCATACCGGTAAAATACCTACCATTATATAAAAACAATGAAACTTCCATGCAGTAAATTCTTCTGTCTTACACCTCTCCAGGGTGCACTATAATGCTTATCTCTGAAATTGTGTAATACCTAATAAATCTATATAAAGAATTTGTTCTTGATACACAAAAAAGGATTTATAACGTGATTTATCTTAATCTGATCAATACAGAGGTTTCAAACCAGTATAAAAATATTTCTACCCGTTATTGTTGTTAATAAGGGGTTTTCCCTGTTCCAGGTTTTAAATTATCTAATGATTTATAAGATAAGCCAATGTCTTTAAAACTATCATTCTCATCCTTGAAATAAAGTTTTTTGTATTTTTTTAAATACAGACCTTTCGATTCAATGTTTAATTGTATTGTGATTTGTTTTTTCTAAAGTATATTCTTATTGAAAAAGTCTGTGTTTTAGATAATGAAATTATTTTACAGAAGTCTTTTTGGATAGAAGGTTTACATGTCATTTTTACTACATGCCTGAGAAATGTAAAAAAAAATTCTTTCACAAAATTAAATAGAAATCCCTTATTCAATCTAAATCAAGAAATTTGTTAACTTTTTTTCATTTTAATTTTTTTTTAATATTGCAGTTTGAAGTGTGCATTTTTTAGTTTCTTAAAATCATATTGATAACATTATGTAGCGAAGAGGTTTTATCAAATATAATGAAACCTTTGTAATTTTTTTTACCCTCTTGAACAGTATGGCACCTGCCCGAATGAAAAGGGTAAAGATAACGATCAGTGATCGAATTTTTAAAAATAAAAAATTAAACATTTCAAAGAACTTTATTTGGTAATAACCAATATTTGCCCCCAAAATCAAACTTTAATGGAGATATATTTAATTAAGTTCATAAACAGGGGGAGTATATGCTGACTTCAAAGCACTGAATATTTTCATAAGTAATGACGTCATATGTACTTAATGACGTCACAAACATGACGTAAATTTCAGTTTTTTATGAATTTTACAGAAAAATGTTCATATTTCGTCGATATTTTGAGTAAAAATCACCGAGCGCATGTGTGTTCAGGATCAATATTTTGATATAATGAGTAGAATGATAATATCAATGAAATATGTCAATATTGTTCCTGAACAAATTTGCGCTCTATAAATTTTAAAGCTAAAATTGTTGTAATTTTGTCCATTTTGTCCTCTTTCTAAAAAAGGATTTAAGTCGGACTAGTTTGTGACGTCATAAAAAGAAAAATTGTGAATACACTGCTTTGAAACTATAATATTTTCTGTTAATTCATATTTCTCATACAATTTATTGAATTCAGCTCATTTCAGGAAGTTTTCAAAATTTGAATTTTGTGGGGGCAAATATATGCAATATACCGCATATAGTTCTTTGTACAAATAAGATGACGTAGAAACGGACCTCTGGACATTTTCCAAGTGGGATCAGGTGCTTAAGACAAGTAAGGTACCCTGTCGACCGATCACACCCGGCATGAGGTCTATGTTTCCATAAGGCAGAAGCGAAATATATATGTATATATATTGTATATAATTTAAACATAAAAAAGCAAATACCTTAGAATTAGTATGAAACAAGTCAGCAAAAATACTACTCACTGATAGGTTATAATTGCTAACTATGTCATTGTAACGACCAAAGAATTCGCTGACTTTGAACGAGGTTGTTGAAATTGTTAAATTATCGACTTACATGGCGGTGGCCTGCCTCAGTTTAAAACCGATCGTAGTCGGAGCATGCACCTGAGTAACGAATAAATTAGGAGATGCAATACAGCAAACGCATGCCTTAGCGGGATATAACTTAATGATAGAAGTGTCTCTAGAAAAAAGTTGAAATTACCCCATTTGCATACAATTTAGACTAGGCCTGGGGGCCATAAAACTTATACGAGCTCACTTTTGATCTCAGTCTCACTTTTCCACTATACATTCCTTTGGAAAAAAGTGAGACTGAGATAAGAAGTTAGCTCGTCTAAGTTTTATGGCCCCCAGGCCAGGTCTTCCAACAATTTGTCAGATTTCCCAGTGGTTCCAATTGTACTCCAGTATCAGCAGACGTACATTTGTTTTCATATGAAGTAGAATTGACAAAGAAGTTGATGAAACAAGAATACAAACTGCCTCGCTTAAAGTCATCATTTCATGAGTTTTCTATTCGATACAATGACCATGTCGACAAATAAAATCTGTTATTAAGTCAAATGGTGACAGACGCTTTTCATATAAATTGTTAGGCCATTATTTACAATTGAATTGTCGACGGATTTTTTTTCTCGATAGCATCCCGGTTATTACACGGTGCACAAGGCGGGGGTGAATGGTCTACAGGGGATGCTCACTCCTCCCAGGTACTTTATCCCACCTCTGATGTTCTAGAGGTCTGCGTTTGCTCTACATACTAGTATTTGTATTGATTGAGTGGACTTTTGAACATAAATACTGTTCGTTATCTCTATATATATCATGTTGTCTGTATTTAAAGATGCTCAATGACTTATTTTACGGTTATTTCATCATTGCAAATACACAGTATAAGCAAAAATTCAATTGTTACCCTTAAAAATCAAATTTTTGAATAATTAGATGTTATATGTATTAAATATCGAATTCAAAACAATTCAATCGAATTGTTCTTCATCAACCAGAAATTGTTCTATATAGTATTCGAAAAGCTGCAATCGTGATATACTGGTTGACTGGATTTCTCGTTCTATGATCAACAGAATGATCTTGTCAGCAAAAACAGTCCAACAGTCCACTCATAACCTCCTGACAGGATCCAGAAAAAAAACTGAATTTTCTCAGAGCATACTGTTGCGTTTCAAATCAGATTAGAGATACTCAGTATAAACGTTATATTCAGCTTTTTATGGAATATTACCACAGATTTGAGTAGCACTGAAGAATAAGACGATCTAAAAGATGAAGTCATTTCGTCTATTGTCAATTTATCTAAATAGTAAATACATGCAGATGTTGCAGATTCTGTGGAGCCTATTTCTACAGTTCTTGGATATACGGAGTCAACATATCAACAACAGTAACTATTTACATGAGAATTTATGAAATATGAAACAACAAACAACAATCAAGATTGCCAACCCACTTAATCAATGGAAATTTGGAGCACAGCAAACGTGGGCCTATAAGAGTGGGAGCAGGAGCCATGAAGGAGTAAGATTAGTGTGATCGTAAATCATTCATAGGTTTCCATAACTAGTGTAGTATATGTTGTTCATGGTTCATTGTTTTTCATTTCTTATTTTGAACAGATATTGACGATCAAAAGGATAAGAAACTAGAGCAAAGCTCGTTGCAAAGCAACGAGTAGGTCTTCCGTCCTGTTTGACTGGAAGTAGCTTTCATTCTTAACAAAAACGAGAAATAAACGCCCAAAAATGCTTTGAATCCTCTAAAGCTATGTTAATCAATGCAAAAAAGCCATTTTTTGCTACTTCCTATTCAACCGGAAGTGATGACGACACACGAAAAATTAATTTTTAATTTTTAAGCTCCCAGAGACATATGTTGCCCAAAAACTTGTCAAAAACGGCAAAAATACTCGTTTTCCGACTACTTCCGGTTTGGTAGGAAGTGACGACGTTGGACGTATTTTGACGACTCCATTATAGATTAATCTTGACATTTTCAAAAACTTTGCTTCTTTGATATATAACAAATTCTCAATACTTTTTAAGATATTTGGGAAAAAATTGGCCCCTCTAGATCCCTTAATTTAGCGGTCAGCCCTTTTCCCGACACATCGTTTGAAAGATCTTCTAATTCTGCACAAGTTATGTTCTATATATTTTAACAAAATATTTTTAGTTTAGAAGATAAGAAGCAAAATATGAGTAATATTTTGTTCTTTTAAGCGTTCTAATTTTTGACCCCTTTATAGCGCCATTTTGAATAGAGAAATCGAAAAACAAAAACCGATGTGCACAACTTCAATCCTATCTAAAATCAGTAGAATTTCTGATCCAGCTTTAGCCGTCTCTGAGCCTTTGTCTGGAAACGAAAGCCTATAAATTTTATTTAAAAGGGAAATAACTCAAAACCGGTAGTGACTTTTTGAAATTTTTGACAGCATTCTGATAGAGTTTAGTAACTTCTAATAACTCTGAAAATTTGAGCGAAATCAATTGAGAAATGAGTGAAATATTAGGCTTCAAAGTTTGCGTCTAGGAAGTAGAAGAAAAAACAAGATGTGTTTGTGAAACACTGGTGCCCCCATATAGCAACATATCGAAGGTTAAGCTTTCTTAAATGCAGATCATATATTTTGATACCAAACTAAGGCCTTTTCACAAGAAATGCTAAATAAAAAACGCTAGCTACACCTGTTCCAGGGTTTAGACCAAGGTTAACATTTTATAATATAGGACAAACTCTGGGTCAATGTTGTCAGGTTCTAAAGCAAGGCCTTGTCTCAAAGATTACGTATGGAAAGTGTGAAAGCGCTGGCCCTTACCGTTCAAAAGTTATGGTCAAGGTTAAAGTTTGTAAAAAGTAGGTCAAACTGTAAGGTCAAGGTCAAAGGGTAAGATTCTGGATATCCAATGAAATATCTTGTCACAAGGATTACACATATGAAGTATGAAAGCGCCATCCCCTACTGTTCAAAATAGTTTAAAGTTTGTAAAAAGTAGGTCAAACTCCAAGGTCAAGGTCAAAGTTCTTGATATCAAATGAATGGGCTTGTCACAAGGATTAAATATTTGAAGTATGAATACCCTAGTCCGAACCCCTCAAAAATATAGTCAATGTTGTATTTTTAAAGTAGGTCAAACTCCAAGGTCAAAGTCAAAGGGTCAAGGTTCTTGGTATCCAATAAAAGGTCTTTTTATTAGAATTATATATGTGAAGAATGAAAGCCCTCGCACTAATTGTTCATAAGTTATAGCTAAGGTTAAAATTTTTTCATAGGTACGGAAATCTCCAAGGTCAAAAGGTCAAGGTTGTTGGTATCCTACGAAAGGACTTTCCACAAAGAATACATATGTCAAATACAAATGTCCTGGTATTTATTGTTCAAAAGATATGCCCAAAGTAAAAGTTCAAAATTAT